TACAGCAGGAAGATGAGCTTGGAGGAGGGATCCGCACAGGCCGACCTACCCCTCCAGGGGCAGTGACAGCGGCAGGAGCACCGGGACATCCATCCTTCTCCAGGGGGATGACTAGCCCTCCCGGACCCACTCTTTCACCTCATCCCTCTCGGACCCGCACTCCTTCCAAACGGAGGTGGAGGTGTGGTGGCAACGAAGACGTTACTGCTTTGAGATGATTTGCATCACACGGCTGTGTGTAGCGAGGGGATGTGTTAGGGCAGCTCCGTTCCCTCTATACGTGGACGTGGAAGAAACTAAATAGGAGAAAATCCATCATCTGAAACCTTTCGACAGACGCCACTCTTTTGTTTCTCTTCGTTTTGTATTTTTTCTGGAGAGAGTCAAAGTGAATGTACACTGTATGTACTTTGTTCATTTTGTGTATACTAAAGATCTATTATTTTACGAAATTATCCCCAGTCAGGGTAGCGAATAACAGCATTGAACAAGAATCAATACTCTCTCTGTTTTCTAGTGTGTTCGTGTCTGCATTAGCTGAGGTTTAATATCATCATCATTATTATTTTCGTCATAGTTTTCATCGTGTTCGAAGCGAAAGCAAGTGGCTTTGTCAACCGCGGCAAGAACATCGTCATCTGTCTTTTTTAAGCTTTTTCGGTGTTGTTGGAGGCCTGGGAAACGGTGTCCTGAGGCTTTTCTTCGTGGATGCAGAACCAAGGCAATCTCTTCTGCAACTCCAACCTGAGAGATAAGGAAAATGAGAGACGGTCACTACGTTGTTGTTTTTTTAAGAATCAGTCCACATGCACACACAGTCAGAAAAAAAATAGCGTTACCCTTTCCACAAACTATTATGAAAAATCGACGAAGTGGTGTGAAATAGTGAGGCAAGGTAGTTAGCGCCATAATCTGGTGTTAACAGAGAGAAGTGCACAGATACTCATTGACCACAGGTAAAGATAACGATAGTTTTTTTTCTGACTGTGCATATCCAAATACTGTATGCACTGCGTTGAGTGTGTGTGTGTGTGTGTGTGTGTGTGTGTGTGTGTGTGTGTGTGTGTGTGTGTGTGTGTGTGTGTGTGTGTGTGTGTGTGTGTGTAACGATAATAGTAATGATATTAGTGACAGACAAACTGATGATACTCGTAATGCACAGAGGCAGACTGACCTGTATCTCGGATGGTTGATGGCGTAAACCCAGGGGTCGATACAAGCCATGGTTTTGCAGGTTAGAGCTGGGATCATTGATACAAGGGGCGTGAGAACAGACCTGTAAATGGAGATAAAATTTTAATGGTAAAGGGATAAAGAAGAAGAAGAGTTCCTTGAGTGGATTAATCTGAGGAACTCGTTTTTTTATGTATTAGTATTCAGTACTAGGGAAAAGTAAGTTCGGTCAAAAGCAGTTTTATCTTCTCCCATTCAGTCTGCCGCGGTTAAGAAAAAACGTGGATTCTTTGAAGATTCCCTCTTATCTGTATACGAAATATCTTTCTCTTCCCTTTCTCTCTCTCTCACTCTCTCTCTCTCTCTCTCTCTCTCTCTCTCTCTCTCTCTCTCTCTCTCTCTCTCTCTCTCTCTCTTTCCCTCTCTTCCCAAAAAAAAATACCTTCAATAAACCACTTTCTCCCCTCATTCCTCTCAAAAATAAAATCTCTCAAAAGAAGAAAACGTGACTCAGACCTCACAGAAAACGGGCATCCCCTATTCCCCCCTACAGCGCCATCTCTTACCGGTTTCCGAAAGCGCCGATGAGGGCTACGACAGCATACGGAGTCCACGACACGAGGAACATGAAAAAGAGTCCCATGCAGACCTTGGCAATGCGGATCTCGGCGGATTTCTCCTGGTCTTCTTTGCTGCCAACACTTCGTAGGTTGTCAACGTTCATCTTCTTGGCCTGTTGGCAAAGGGGGGGGGGGGGGGGGAGTGTATCAGTGGGAGGGGAAAAGTAGTAGGAATGGACTAAGTGGGAATGGAGAATGGGCGTAGTACTAAGGGAACAAACATTTCGGAACGGATGTACACTTCAAGATTGTACGTTATGGTTGGTTTCTATTTTTTTTTTCTTATTTGTCTCATCTTGCTTCTCTTGGTTGTTTTCTCCTTTTTGCTATATCCTGTTTTTTTTTCTCTTTTTTTCAACTCCACCTCCGTTTTCTTCTCCCTTTTCCCCCTTTCGCTTTCTTCTGTCTTCACTTTTTTTTCGTTCCTTCATCATCAGATTGTATTTTCTCCTACAGTTACTCTTTATTTATTATTCCAGCTCCTTCTTACTTCTTCCTCTTTTTTAATTTTGATTCTTCTTCCTCCACCTCATCTTTATCAACTCCTATCCCTTATTTCACAAATGTACAATAATGCTAGAACATACTTTTGCTCGTGTGTACATGAGCATGTGCATGTGTATCTATGTGCATGTCTGTGTACGTGTATATCTACATATGCTTCTTATGCACGGGTATGTACATGCGTATGTGTATGTGCATCTGCA